ACATGATCTCTTGGAAGAGGGTAATAGAAATCTACTCATCTTTGGAAATGAAATTACATTTAAAGAAAATAAGAAAACAATTTGTGTCTAAGAATTGTGCTGTTAGTGGGGAAGGTGATTGTTAACGGCATAAAATTTAGAATTAAAAAATTGTAACATACAGGGATCCTACAAATAAGAAATAGAAAATAATAAAAACACTAGAAGAGGAGAAAAGAAATGAGAAAATGAAATAGGAAAATGATAAATTCTGCAAGTAAGAAAATGAGTCGTACTGGCAGCAGTTTTATTCCATGTTGTGGTAGGAGTCTACAAATCAACCATTGGGGGATGCTAGGATGAACTATGGGAAATGGATTATTGCTGGTGACAACCAATATGAACTCATGTTTTGATTAAGGTATTTTTATATAGATAGCTTATATGTAAATATATTTAAGCTTATCTGTAAATATATTTGTAGATATGTGTCTATATATAAATTAACTATAATATGCATATGTGTATATATTCTTACTCTCTCAGCCAAGATGAACTGCAACAGTGATGCTACAGTATTAGCAAGCACACCTAGTGCCCAGAACTTTGTTACTAACACTGTTATCTAGTAAAAGGAACTAATGCTCCTTGGAGAAATATCTGTTTCTAGGATTAGTGCTCAAGATGAGTCTTAAGTTCTGTTAACTCAGTGGGGGACACAATGTCATTTGGATGAAGATGTTTTTTAAATGTGTATGGTTATTCTTTATTTTAGTATTTTCAGTGGATAAATTTATGTGGCTTAAAATATATATAAAATGCTGAAAACAAAAGTCCTACTATTTCCTTCATCATAGCTCCCAAACTGCTTTGCTTTGCTTAAGTAGAACACTTTCACATACTAATTTCCCTAAAAATCTTCAGAATTTCAGAATTTTAGGGTATTGAGTATATAACACTGTATTTTATATTATTTTGTTTTGTTTTAAAGGCTAAGTGAAGTAAACCAGACAGAAAAGGGCAAATACTGTGATCTACCTGTATGAGATATCTAGAATAGACATATTTAACGATCTGAAATAAAGCTTGCCGGGGCTGAAGTCAATAGAGAATGTGGAGTTAATAAAGTAACATTTTTCTATTTCAGGGTGTAGCCATCATCACTTTATTTTCCAAAAGGTTTTAGAAATAGTGATGGTGGTTACACAAGACAGTGAAAGTACTTCAGTGGTACACTTGAAAACAATAAAATATGCTTTGAAAGGCTGATGAAAGAGGATTGTTTGAGGCCTGGAGGACTTTGAGACCAGTTTTGCTGATAAATAGATATGTATAGGTTTATATGTAAACCTTTTCCTAAGGCAACATACTGTACTAACTGTATTTTTTGTTTCTTTCTTTGTTTTCTAACTAGAGAAACATCCCATGACATTTACTATTTTTATCTTCCTTTTTTTTTTGAAAGATGGATCTTGGCCTAAATCAGTTCTCACCTCACCCACCTGAGGCATGTTTTATGTGCTTTTAAGTGTTTCATTTAGTAACATTAAATAACATTGACAGTATTGTGTAACCATTGCCACTGTTTGTTTCCATAGCTTTTTTATCATTTAAAATACAAAACCTGTAGTTACTAAGTCCTCATTTTTTTCTGACTTCTGCCCAAGGTATCCTTTGGTTTCTATCTTTGCATTTGTCTATGTGAGGATACCTGGCACATATGGATCGTACACTATTTGTCTTTTTGTGTCTCTTTTATTTTACTTAGTTTTGAGTCTTCAAGGGTCATTCACATTTTCAGAACTTATGTATTTTTGTGCCTGAATAATATTTTATTATACTTATTCATATTTATATTTTCGCTTATCCATTTATCTGTAGATGAACAGCTGAATTATTTTGATATTTGACAATTGTGAATTGTACTGCCATCTACAGTATTACAGAAAAATTACAGTAATGTTACAGAATAATACTGCTTGTACACAGAAGTGTACAAGTATTTATTTGAGTCTTTGTTTTCATTTAGCTATATATCTAGAGGAATTGGTGAGAAATATGATAATTTTGTTTAGTAAATTTTAAGGAATCACCAAGCTATTTTGCACAATAGTTGCACCATATACAGGGGTTCAGATTTTTCCATGTTCTTCATCTTGGTGATTGTGAAGTAATGTTTCATTAGTGTTTGATTTAGATTACCCTAGTGACTAATGGTTTTGAGCATCCTTTCATGTGCTTATTGGCAACATGGATAGCTTTTTGAAAAATGTCTATTCAAGTCCTTTGACCTTTTTCAAATTGGTTGTGAGGAGTTTTGTTGTCAAATAATAGGAGTTCATCATATATTGTGAACATTAATCTTTTTGCCAGATACATGATTTGAATATATTTTCTCCCACTTTGGGGTTTTCACTAGTTTGATGGTGTCTTTTGATGCACAGAAGTTTTAATTTTGAAAACATCCTGTTTTTCTTTTTGTTACCTATGTTACCATTGTCATGTTTAAAAAATCACTGTCAACTCCAAGATGTGAAGACATAATGCAGTTTTTTAAAAGAGTTTTATAATTCAGGTCTTACGTTAAGGGCTTTTTATTCATTTTCAGTTAATTCTTTATGTATAGTGTAAAAGGACCCAATTTCATTATTTTCAATGTGGATATTGAAATTTTCTATCACTGCTTGTTGAAAACAGTATTTTTAATTAACTTGTTTTGGCACCTCTGGTGAAAATCAGTTAGCCATTTGTGCAGGTAATTTATTTCTGAGCTCTCTTCTGTTGTTATGCCAATACCATATTGTTTCATTTACTTGTCATTTTATGGTCCATTTGAATGTTGAATGTGCAAATTCTTCAATTTTTCCAAGTTATTTGGCTTTTTATGGCCTTTTGCAATATGAGTTTTCGAATGAGTTTTTCTGGTTTTGCAAATCACTATGCAATTTGCATAGGGATTGATTGTTTAACATATGTAAACTACTTTGGAAAGTGCCGTCATTGAGAAAATATCAAGAATTTCAGTTCATGAACATAGGATGTCTCTTGCTTATTTGTGTCTTTTTAGCATTGTTTTGTAGTTTTCAATGTACAGATCTTTTGCCTTTGATACATTTATTCCTTTCCTTTTTTTCTTTTTAATACTCCTAATAGAATTGTTTTTTTAGTTCTTTTTCAAATTTAATTAGAAATTAATTAAAATTAAAAAGTTAATTGCTATTGCTAGTATACATTAATCTCTGTCATTTCCTATCCCCTCACAATTCCCCATTAAGTTACTTGATGGAGACTCATTCCAAGACTTCTTTTGTTACCTGAAAATTCAAATAGTACTAGACACTATATATACTATGGTTTTCATACTGATAAATCAAGTTAGCTATTAAGAAAGAAACTTCATGGCACATACAGTATGGGTATGCATATACAGTGCAGGTTCACTGGAAAAAGTGATGATTTATGTTGCCAGTGGCATGAATGCTGTACGATTTTATGATGCTACCCAGAGCAGCACATGGTTTAAAACTTATAAATTGTTTTATTTCTGGATTTTTAATGTAATGTTTTTGGACTTCATTTGCATTTGGGTAACTAAAACAATAGAAAGTGAAACTGCATGTAAGGAGGGACTAAAGAACAACTAATTTTGATTGTTGATTTTGCATCTGGAAACTTTGCTGACTTTACTCTGTGTGTGTGTGTCTTTTGTGTATGTGTAACAATTTTTTATGTAGATTATGTCATCTCAGGAAAATGAGCTTATTTGCCTTTCTGACTTGGATGCCTTTTATTTCTTTTTCTTATCTAATTGCTAATGCTAGAACTTTCATTACTAAGTTGAGTAGTAGTGTGATTTTGGTTTCTTCTGTAGTTCTTCTTTTTAGGGGAAAAGCTGTCAGTGTTTCACTGACATTTTTTGAGGATTCCTTCCTTCCTCCTTTCTTTTCTTCCCTTCCTCCTTCCTTCCGTCCCTCCACATGCCATGATGGTTTGCTACATCTATCCTCCTCCCTCTATCACCTACATTAGGTACTTCCCCTAATGTTATCCCTCCCCAATTCCCCCAATCCCTGCTATCCCTCCCTGAGAGGGGTTTCATATCTGACCTTTCTTACCTTGAAGATTATGAGTATCAGCCACTTTCTTATTGCATTGTTTAGCATGGTTTTGCTAAATATATTTCAGATTCAGTATTTATTTATTTATAATTTGGAGGAGTTGAGTTTAAATTTATGACTCTAATAATAATAGGTTTTAGTTGTATTAGTACTTTATGAGATAGAGCTGTGTGCAAATGGTTTTACTTAGAAATTGCCTGTAACTTTAAATATAAAAAATATTGTTACTTTATAACTATGAGAAATGTAATATCTTTAAAATTATAAATATCTCTAAAGAATATGTTCAAGAACTATATATTTTAAATTTTGATTTTTAATTTTGTACAGAGATTTGCTTATGTACTTTTTGTTAAGAGCAGTACTTTGTAAAGAATGTGGCACTTGATCTAACAAATTATTCTTCTCTTTGAAAGTATTTCTAGGTTAATAGTGTATTATCTGATAGAATACTTATGTAGCTTTATGAATGTTATTGAAATAATGTTAGAGGTTGCAAATTTTTCTTGTAGCATTTCAGATATAGTTTTTTTAATGTTGTAATATTTTAATTATACATTGTTATATTTAATGTTAGTTTTTTTAGGTGTAATCTGAAATATGGCTGTCCTGGGCCAAAGATATACTCAGTTAAAATATTAGCATTTTTTACTTTGTTACTTTTTTATGGTGCTATAAACTTCTTAATCATCATTATTTGTAAATCTTCATGTGCTAGCTATTTTAATTGTATTTCTTTATTTTTATTACATTTATAATTTTTACTACTCATTATTACGTATCACTTTATTATTTTTATTTTAGTTGCTATAAATATGGCCTTATATATATATTGTTAAAATCAAGAATATTTCTATTTAAATATTTGTTTTTCTCTAAATATTTTTTTCCTCTGCTCTTTAGAGGAAGTATCATTCTGCAAAGGAAGCATATGAACAACTTTTACAGACAGAAAACCTTCCTGCGCAAGTAAAAGCAACTGTATTGCAACAGTTAGGTACATGAAAACTTAACTTTTATTATATGTTACATTAATTTGAATAGATTTTCCTTTTGAGGTTCAGTTTTTTCCCTTTTGCTTAGATGTCCATTTTCATTTAGAAGTCTATGATTTAAGATTAAATGTGACATGTATTATTTTGAGGTAAAATTTTAAATGAATAATTCTATTACAGTAGTTCCCTGTTTTCTCAGAGTTACATGCTCCATGATACTTTGGGGGCTGCAAGTACTTCCAAAACCTATATTTTACTGTGGTTTTCTTACAGCTAAGACGACTACTAAGTGACTGCTGACTGGGTTGCGTAGACAGTGTGGATACATGGCACAGAGTGGGAGTAGGTGCAGTAGTATGAATTTTCATTTTGCTACCCAGAGTGGCATGCAGTTTAAAACTTAACAAATATCTTATTTCTGAGACTATTCCATTAAACATTTTTTGGCACTAGGAGACTGAAACTGTAGAAAGCATAAATGTAGTAAGGGGGGACTACTATATAAATGTTTTCTTCTATAAGTGTATTTTCATAGTTGATATACTTACACACGCTAGGAAGCACACGTCTCACCATCTATATAAAGAGTGCTTAGTGCTGGCTGGGTATGGTCCTGCACATCTGTCATCTCAGCCACTGTGGGATGCTGGGTAGGCAGATCACCTGAGGTCAGGAGTTTGAGTAGCCTGACAAACATAGTGACCCTCCCCCAACCACCTGCTACTAAAAATACAAAAATTAGCCTGAGATGGTGTCATGCACTTGTAATACCAGCTACTCAGGGAGCTGACACAGGAGAACCACTTAAATCTGGGAGGTGGAGGCTGCAGTAAGCTGAGATGGAGGCATTATATGCCAGCCTGGACAACAGAGGAAGACTTTGTCTTAAAAAAAAAAAAAAGGTTCATGATTACTGCAGCTACTCTTGGATTCTCAACGTTATCCCCTTATTGCTTGACCACAGGATGAGGTTGGAGGTCTTCCACCTACTTAACATTTTATGAAGTAAATTGAATTGAGGTCATCATAAAGCTAGTAAGTGGATACTAACCTTGCTTTATACTTGTATTGATGTACGATAAATGGAAACATTCCACCTAAAATTATTATAAAGAACATCTTACAGGGTTTTTTTCTCAAATATCTGTAACATTCTCATGTAGAAGATAAGTTAATCTAGTTTTTGAAAACAATATAAAATAATATGTTGTTGTCATTTAGGATATAGCATGGCTCCTCTTCATTAACTAATTTTGTTTCTTATCTAACTTGATTGTATTTGCTAGTTGGGTTAATATTTGTTGGTACTTCAGTACTTTGGTCTGAGCAAATAAAATCCTAAATTTTACTCAAGTTTGCGGTAGTATAAATTGTCTTACAATCTCAGTGTTTTATCCATAATTTTAAAAGCATTTAAGCATAGTTTTGCTTAGATATTTCTGCAAAGCAAATTTTATGCAATTGAATTAAGTCACAGCTGACAGACTGCTTTTGACTTGACTTGAGTATTAAGCATATATTCCCATTAGATAGTCTTTCAATTATTTATGTAGCTGTGGTTCATAATCTGTTTATTGAAGGAGAACCTGTGCACACACTCTGTAACACTCTTAGGGCTCTTTGAACCTACTTTTCTTTTATTTATTTATTTATATTTTGCTTATTCCATATAACCTAGAAGTGTTGTTGTGGTTGTTTATCTAATGCTATGACTTTTAGAATATTATTATTTTAAGTAAACAATGCCAATAATGTCTAAGGCCTTTTGTAAGTTGTTTAAGATTTTATTAAATTAATAATGTATTTTAAAAATATTTTATAAAGGATTATATTTTAGGCAGAAGTCGAAAGCAGCTATTAAAAAGACTATAAATGGGCCAGGTGTGGTGGCCCACACCTGACATCCCAGAACATTGGGAGGCTGAGGTGGTTGGATCACTTGAGGCCAGGACCAGCCTGGTGAATATGGTGAAATGCAAAAATTAGTGCCATGCATAGTGTGTGTGCCATGCCTGTTAATCCCAGCTACGTAAAGGGCTGTGGCAGAAGAATCTATTCAACCTGGGACACAGAGATTGCAATGAGCCAAGGTCTTGCCACTGCACTCCATCCTGGGAAACAAAGCAAGACTCCATCACATAAACAACAAAAATAATATGAATTGATCGTTGTTGGTTATATACCTTGCTTTTATTCTTTGGATGTAAGCATGGGGTTAAACATTGTTTTCAAAATTCCCTACTATATGGTAACCTACAAAGAAAAAGGGGCCAGACTGTTAGAAGGAAAACTAACAAACAGAAATAACTTCATCATTAACAAACTGGAGGGCCAGGCGTGGTGGCTCGAGCCTGTAATCCCAGCACTTTGGGAGGCCGAGGCGGGTGGATCACGAGGTCAAGATCGAGATCATCCTGGTCAACATGGTAAAACCCTGTCTCTACTAAAAATAAAAAAAAATTAGTGGGGCATGGTGGCGCATGCCTGTAATCCCAGCTACTCGGGAGGCTGAGGCAGGAGAATTACCTGAACCCAGGAGGCAGAGTTTGTGGTGAGCTGAGATCGCGCCATTGCACTCCAGCCTGGGTAACAAGAGTGAAACTCCATCTCAAAAGAAACAAACAAAAAAACAAACTGGATGTCCACTCAGAGACCCAATCTGAAAGTCAGCAACTACAAAGACGATAGGTGGAGAAACCCACAAAGATGGGAAGAAACAAGCACAAAAAGGATGAAAACACCCGAAACCAGAACACCTCTCTTCCTGCAAGGGATCACACCTCCTCACCAGCAAGGGAACAAGGCTGGACGGAGAATGACTGTAATGAAATGACAGAATCAGGCTTCAGAAGGCGCATAATGAGAAACTTCTGTGAGCTAAAAGAACATGTTCTAAATCAATGCAAAGAAACTTAAGAACCTTGAAAAAAGATTTGACAAAATGCTTACGAGAATGGACAAGTTAGAAGGGAATAAAAGTGAATTGATGGAGCTGAAAAAGACAACATGAGAACTTTGTGAAGCATACAGAAGTTTCAACAGCTGAAATTGACCAAGCAGAAGAAAGGCTATCACAGGTTAAAGATCAACTCAATGAAATAAAAGGCAAGATTAGAGAAAAAGGGGAAAAAGGAATAGACAAAGTCTCCAAGAAATATGGGACTATGTGAGAAAACCTAATCTACGTTTGATAGGTGTACCTGAATGTGTTGAAGAGAATGAATCCAAGCTAGAAAATACACTTCAGGATATTATCCATGAAAACGTCCCCAACCTAGCAAGCCAGGCCAATATTCTAGTCCAGGAAATATAGAGAACACCACAACGATATTCCTCAAGAAGAGCAACCCAAAGGCACATAATTCTCAGATTCACCAAGATTGAAATGAAGGAGAAAATGCTATGGGGCAGCCAGAGAGAAATGTTGGGTTATCCACAAAGGGAAGCCCATCAGACTCACAGCAGATCTCTCGGCAGAAACCCTGTAAGCCAGAACAGAGTGGGGGCCAATATTCAACGTCCTTAAAGAAAAGAACTTTCAACCCAGAATTTCATATTTAGCCAAACTAAGCTTCATAAGTGAAGGAAAGATAAAATCATTTGCAAACAAGCAAGTACTCAGAGATTTTGTTGCCACCAGGCCTGCTTTACAAGACCTCCTGCAAGAGGCACTACACATAGAAAGGAACAACCAGTACCAGCCACTCCAAAAACATACCAAATGCTAAAGAGCATCAACAAAATGAAGAATCTGCATCAACTAACAGACAAAACAGCCAGCTAGCATCAAAATGGCAGTATCAGATTTACACAGAAGAACATTATCTCTAAATGTAAGTGGTCTAAATGCTCCATTCAAAAGGCACAAACTGGCAAATTGGTTAAAAAGCCAAAACCCATCGGTGTGCTGTATCCAGGAGACCCATCTCACAGGCAGGGATACAGAAAGGCTCAAAATAAAGGGATGGAGGAAGATTTACCAAGCAAATGGAGAGCAAAAAAAAAGTAGGAGTTGTAATTTTCATCTCTGGTAAAATAGACTTTAAAGCAACAAAGATCAGAAGAGGAAAAGAACAAAATTCCATATTGGTAAAAGGATCAATGCAACAAGAAGGGCTAAACCATCCTAAATATATACACACTAAATACAGGAGCAGAAGATACATAAAGCAAGTTCTTAATGACTTACAAAGAAACTTAGACTCCCACACAATAATAGTGGGAGAGACTAACGCTCCACTGTCAATATTAGACAGATCAACCTGACAGAAAATTTACTAGGAAATCCAGGACTTAAACTCAGACCTGGAACAGGCAAATCTGATAGACATTTACGGAACTCTCCACTCCAAATCCACAGAATATACATTCTTCTCTGCACCACATCACACCTACTCTAAAATTGACCACATAATTGGAAGTAAATCACTCCTCAGCAATTGCAAAACAACTGAAATCATAACAAACAGTCTGTCAGACGACAGTGCAATCAAGTTAGAACTCAGAATTCAGAAACGAACTCAGAACCGCACAGCTTCATGGAAACTGAACAACTGGCTCTTCAATGTTCATTGGATGAACAATGAAATGAAGGCAGATATAAAGATGTTATTTGAAACCAATGAGAACAAAGACACAACATTCCAGAATCTCTGGGACACATTTAAAGCAGTCTCTAGAGGAAAATATATATCAATAAGTGTCCACATGAGAAGCAAGGAGAGATCTAAAATTGACACCCTATCGTCAAAATTGAAAGAGCTAAAGGAACAAGATCAAAAAAACTCAAAACCTAACAGAAGACAAGAAATAACTTAGATAAGAACAGAACTGAAGAAGACAGAGGCAGAAAAAAACCCTCAAAATATCAGTATATCCAGGAGCTGGATTTTCAAAAAGGTCAACAAAATAGACCACTAACCAGATTAATAAAAAGGAGAAGAGAGAATAACCAAATAGATGCAATAAAAAACGATAAAGGGGATATTACCACAGATCCCACAGAAATTCAAACCATCATCAGAGATTATTACAGACAACTCTATGCACATGAACTAGTAAACCTGGAAAAAATGGATAAATTCCTGGACACTTGGATTCTCCCAAACCTAAACCAGGAAGAAGTTGAAACCCTGAATAGACCACTAACAAGATCTGAAGTTGAGGCAGCAATTAAGAGCCTAACACAGAAAAAAAGCCCAGGTCCAGATGGGTTCACACCCGAATTCTACCAGACATACAAAGAGGAGCTGGTACCATTGCTTCTGAAACTGTTCCAAATAATTCAAAAAGAGGGAATTCTTCCCAAATCATTTTATGAGACCAACATCATCCTGTTACAAAAACCCGGCAGAGACTCAACAAGAAAAGAAAACTTCAGGCCAATATCCATGATGAACATAGATGCAAAAATCTTCAATAAACTACTGGCAAGCCAATTGCAACAGCACATCAAAAAGTCTATCCACTGTGATCAAGTAGGCTTCATCCCGGGCATGCAAGGCTGGTTCAGCATAAGCAAGTCTATAAATGTAAATCACCGCATAAACAGAACAAAAGACGAAAACCACATGATTATCTAAATTGATGCCAAGGAGGCCTTTGACAAAATTCAACACCTCAATAAACTAAGTATTGGTGGAATGTATCTCAAAATAATGAAAGCTATTTATGGCAAACCAATAGCCAATATCATACCTGTATGGGCAAAAACTGGAAGCATTCCCTTTGAAATCTGGCACTGGACAAGGATGCCCTCTCTTACCACTCATATTCAATATAGTACTGAAAGTACTAGCCAGAGCAATCAGGTAAGAAAAGAAATAAACGGTATTCAAATAGGAAAGAAGGAAGCCCAATTGTCTCTACCTGCAGATGACATGATAGTATATTTATAAGACCCCATCGTCTCAGTCCAAAAACTCCTGAAACTGATAAGCAACTTCAGCAAAGTCTCAGGATACAAAAACAATGTGCAAAAATCACAAGCATTCCTATACAACAATAACAGACTTAAAGAGAGCCAAATCAAGAACAAACTGCCATTCACTATTGCTACAAAGAGAATAAAATACCTTGGAATTCAACTCACAAGGAACGTAAAGAACCTCTTCAAGGAGAACTACAAACCACTGCTCAACGAAATAAGAGAGGACACAAACAGATGGAGAAACATTCTATGTTCATGGTTAGGAAGAATCAATATCGTGAAAATGGCCATACTGCCCAAAGTAATTTACAGATTCAACACTATCCCCATCAAGCTACCAAAGACTTTCTTCACAGAATTGGAAAAAAACCACCTTGAACTTCATATGGAACCAAAAGAGAGCCTGCATAACCAAGTCAGTTCTATGCAAAAAGAACACAGAGGGAAGTATCACATTACTGGACTTCAAACTATACTACAAGGCTACAGTAACCAAAACAGCATGGTACAGGTACCAAAACAGGGATATAGACAACTGGAACAGAACAGAGGTATCACAGGCAACACAACATATCTACCACCATACAACCTTTGATAAACCTGACAAAAACAAGCAATGGGGAAAGGACTCCCTGTTTAATAAATGGTGTTGGGAAATCTGGCTAGCCATGTGCAGAAAGCAGAAACTGAACCCCCTTCCTGACACCTTACACTAAAATTAACTCCAGATGGATTAAAGACTTAAACATAAGACCTGGCACCATAAAAACCCTAGAAGAAAATCTAGGCAAAATCATTCAGGACATAGGTGTGGGCACGACTTCCTGACCAAAACACCAAAACCATTGGCAACAAAAGCCAAAATAGACAAATGGGACCTAATCAAACTCTGCATAGCAGAAGAAACAGAAATTAGAGTGAATCAGCAACCAACAGAATGGGAAAAAATTTTTGCAGTTTACCCATCTGACAAAGGGCTGATATCCAGAATTTACAAAGAACTCAAACAGATTGACAAGAAAAAAACAAGCCCATTCAAAAATGGGCAAAGGATATGAACAGACACTTTACAAAAGAAGACATACATGAGGCAACAAACATATGAAAAAATGCTCATCATCACTGGTCATTAGAGAGATGCAAATCAAAACCACATTGAGATACCATCTCACACCAGGTAGAATGGAGATCATTAGAAAATCTGGAGACAACAGATGCTGGAAAGGATGTGGAGAAATAGGAACACTTTTACACCATTGATGGTAGTGTAAATTAGTTCAACCGGTATGGAAGACAATGTGGTGATTCTTCAAGGACCCAGAAACAGATATTCCATTTGACACCGCAATCCCATTACTGGGTGTATATCCAAAGGATTGTAAATCATTCTGCAATAAGGTCACATGCACTCAAATGTTCACTGCAGCACAGTTTACAATAGCAAAGACCTGGAACCAATCCAAATGCCAATGGATGATAGACTGGACATGGAAAATGTGGCACCCATACACTATGGAATATTATGCAGCCATCAAAAATGATGAGCTCGTTTCCTGTGTAGGGACATGGATAAACCTAGAAACTATCATTCTCAGCAAACTGACACAAGAACAGAAAATCAAACACCACATTTTCTCACTCATAGGCGGGTGTTGAACAATGAGAACACATGGATACACCTTGGGTGTGTTGGGGGGAAAAGGGATGGGCGGTGGGGGGTGGGGAGTTGGGGAGAGATAGCATACGGAGAAATACCAAATACAGGAGAAGGGGAGGAAGACAGGAAATCACACTGCCACGCGTGTACCTATGCAACTATCTTGCATGTTCTTCACATGTACCCCAAAACCGAAAATGCTATTTTAAAAAAAGGAAAAAGTAAATTTATCCATTTTATGCTTTTGATTTATAACTTGCCGTTTTTTTCCACTTAAATTTACAGAGGAGAATTTGGTTTGTCATTTGTCAATTCTTTTCCTAAAATCATTTAATTTTCTCTTTGTGCTTTCAGATCTTTTTCTAGCTTTGATTGTATCCTTTTGTGTGAAATAGACTTCTCTACACTTTGCTAGTTTTCAATTTTGGGAAACTCTGATCTAAGTTGAATTAATAAATTACTGAAAAGTAATTTGCTGTTTCGTTCATGATTTTCTTGAAACTAATGAAGTGGAATGATGATGGGTAAATACTTATAACTTTTAATTATAGGTTGGATGCATCATAATATGGATCTAGTAGGAGACAAAGCCACAAAGGAAAGCTATGCTATTCAGTATCTCCAAAAGTCACTAGAGGCAGATCCTAATTCTGGCCAATCTTGGTATTTCCTTGGAAGGTGAGATGAAACACTTGTGGTATCCAGAAGTTATTTATAATATAAAATCATTTGTAGATTTTATATTATGTAATCTGGGAAGTGACTTTTAAAAATAAATTGCCCAGTTTGTCTTTCAGTTGTTTGTGTAGCTATAGTTATTAAATATTAAACAAAATCTATAGTACCCACTCTGTACCACTCCCACAGCTCTTTGAACTTACATTTCCCATATAATCTTGAGGTTTTATTGTGGTTATTTAGCGATGTTATAACAGTAATTTATTTAAAATTAAAATATTACATTTTTGTTAATATATAATTATATTTATAATTATATTTATAATTTCCCCAAATTCAAATAACATTTACATTCAAATATAATGGTATTGTATGCTTATTAAAATATAATATTTATTGTATATAACTTTTTTGCAAAACTATATTTTAGAGAAAAAAATCAAACATTTCTAGGAGATATAAATAGCTTTGAATTTAATTGCTCTTACTGAGATACTCTTTTACTTACTAGATTTTATTTTTTCATTTTACTTTTTTTATTCTTTGAGACACAGTTGTTGCCTAAGTTGAATTGCAGTGGCACAGTCTTAGCTCACTGTAACTTCTGCTTCCTTGGCTTAAATAATTCTCATGCCTCATCCTCTTAAGTAGCTAGTACTATAGGGGCACACCGCTACTCCCAGCTAATTGTTGTATTTTTATAGTAGACTCAGGTTTTGCCATCATGTTTTCTTAATCTGAGTAGATTTATTGCTGGTTTTTAAAGAATTTTAAAGAGTATCATCATGTAATATTCACTAATAGTTTTTCAGTTTAGTATTTAAATTATATTTCCTTTGATATCTAGGATTTTAAAAAATATACAGTAAAACCTGAAATTATATTTTATCTAATGACAGTCATCTATGGAAATTTGCCTTTACAGTTTTGTTTGGTGATTTTGTATATTGAAACAAATATTTTTATTAATCATAGATCTCAAATTACAGTTCTAGTTGAGAGGAAATATGTAAGTTATTATTGTTTGTTGTGGAAAGAACATAGAAATGTTTTTGGTAATCCATAAATTTTTTCTCGGTATTTTTCTTATTTTGAATATGGATTGTCTAAATTATACCTACTGATACAATGTTTACCTGTCTGATAGCATACATATTTGTACATGTATGTGTTTTTAATTGCCAGATTGTATTTTAGTGTGTTGGAAAGATCAATGGATTGAAGAGTGAGAAACTTGGGTTTAAATCCTGGCTTTGCCATTGACTGTGGAATCATTGATAGTCCATTTAAACTACTTGAGGCTGGGTGCAGTGGCTCACACCTGTAATCCTAGCACTTTGGGAGGCCAAGGTGGGTGGATCATTTGGTGAAACCTCATCTCTACTAAAAATACAAAAATCACCCAAGTGTGGTGGTGCATGCTGTAATCCTAGCTACTCTGGAGACTGAGGCAGGAGAATCATTTGAACATAGGAGACAGAGGCTACAGTAAGCCAAGATTGCATCACTGTACTTCAGCCTCGGTGACAAAGTGAGCCTGCATCTCAAAAATTAAAAAAGAATATAAACTACTTGATGTCTCAGTTTTTATTTCACCTATTTAGAGGATTAGATTAGAACTGTCAGGCACCTTTTCAAAACAAGGTGATATATTAATTTTTTTCCCCTAATTTGACTCATTGGTAAATTTTGATTCTATTTTTACATAAGTTAGTTCATTTTATGTAACGTTGACACGAAGTGACATTCAAATTTAATTTTTCTGTTAATTTTATTTGTGTACAGTGTTTTATTTTTGTTGGAAGTTTGGAAAAGATTTATATTAAAGGGAGACTATTTTTAGTATTACTCCTTATTAAAAATATTTAGTCAGCTGTTAGTGATATATAATAAGAATGATGTTAACTCTTTGTAATAGGGTTTTTTTAATGAAAAACTCTAGTGATTATAAAATAATTAGCTTGGGTTGCTTGTATTACAAAACTTGGAAGTTCAGACTTTGACTTGATCCTCACCACTAAAGTTCAGGAGAAGCTGAATTTTTTTATGCCTGCATTGCACAACAAAGTGCTTTGAGCAAACTTATTTTATTACTTAATTGAAATAGTTCTCTTACTAAATAGAGCAAGTGAACTAACTAAGCCACATGAAGGCGTAAGCTAGCACAATTACAGACTGTTAGCTTTTCCACAGTATAAGCTTTTAATACACTAATGTTAAAAGAGGCTAATTATCAAAAAGGGACAGGTGTAAAAACTGGTCTGTGGCATTAAGTTTTATTATATTTGAGCAATTATTTTTACTATAGAAAAGAAAGAATATGAACCGGGACATTTTTTGTTTTTTTTTCCAACAAGATTGGTTGCATATTATGTTATAGTATTGAAATGTCTCATTATTGTAAAGGATAGTAGTTACTGTTTACTTCTTGTAGCATTTTATAATATGGTATAACACAGATGCTAAAATTTACAGTTTCAGGCTTCGCATGTAGGCTTATTACTGTATCCCAGCACTTTGGGAGGCCAAGGAGGCTGGGTTGCTTGAGCTCAGGAATTACAATCACACTGGGCAAGTGCTGAAACACTGTCTTTACCCAGCATACCAGAATTAGCTGGGTGTGGTGCTGCCTGCTTGTGGTCCCAGCTACTGGGAAGGCTGTAAGGATTGTTGGAGGCTATAGTGACATATCATCATGCCACTACACACCAACCTGGGGACAAAGTGAGACCCTGTCTTAAAAAAATTAAATGAAGGCCAGACACAGTGGCTCATGCCTGTAATCCCAGCAGATTGAGTGTTGCTAAGTGGAAGGAGAATATTAAATCCTAGTATAAAGGTCATTATCAAAGGAACTTTTCTCTTTATATTTAATTCTGTTCTTACGATGTAGGAAACTTGAGTTCAAACTGTGTAAATAGAAGGCTATATAATACCTGCAGTATGATAGCATTGAAATAATTTAGGCTCCAATACTTTGAGAAAATGTTTATTATCATGTACTAGCTCTTTTCAAGACAGTATTTAAAAGCAAGTTATAAAAGACGATAAAATAACTGTAACGTATATTGATAAACATATGTACACACATACACATGTGCTTGCCTATTATTTGTTCTCCTTTGAAATACAGTTCATCTTTTTGTCAAATAAATTATTAATGGATAATTTATATTTTTTCCTTTTAGGTGTTATTCGAGTATTGGGAAAGTTCAGGATGCCTTTATATCTTATAGGCAATCTATTGATAAATCAGAAGCAAGTGCAGATACATGGTGTTCAATAGGGTAAGGCTATGTATATAAACACAGTAGAATTTTACTTGATACACTGAATGATTAAAACACCTAATACACTGTATAGTAATATAAAATTAACTGGCTGGTTGTAGAGTCTCATTCCTGTAATCCTAGCACTCTGGGAAGCTGAGGATAGAGGATCTCTTGAGCCAAGGATTAAAGACCAGCCTGGACAATAAAATGGGATGCATTTTCACAAAAAAGTTTTAAAAATTAGCCAAACATCGTGGCATGTGTCTATAGTCCCACCTGCACAGGAGGCTGGGTGTGGTGCTGCCTGCCTGTGGTCCCAACTACTGGGAAGGATTGCTTGAGTGGAGAAGTGTGGTGAGCCATGGAAATGCTACATCTCTCCAGCCTGGGCAACAGAGTGAGACACTGTTTCAAAAATACTGAAAAATAAACAAAAGAAGGTAGCCAGTTAGTTTTTTGACAGCATTCCTTTTCTTTCCAGTGTGTTGTATCAGCAGCAAAATCAGCCTATGGATGCTTTACAAGCCTATATTTGTGCTGTACAATTGGACCATGGCCATGCAGCAGCCTGGATGGACCTAGGTACTCTCTATGAATCCTGCAATCAACCTCAGGATGCTATTAAATGCTACTTAAATGCAACTAGGAGCAAACATTGCAGTAATACTTCTACACTTGCTGCAAGAATTAAATTTCTACAGGTAAAAATTTTAAATAGTGTATTTTAAATGATTGCATTCCTGTAATAATTGGCAGGAGAAGGGTGGCTGACAAGTTTACGTAGTTGTGATTGATGTTGCTTTGTTAATGTACTTTGTAATATTTTTTGATATTATTTTGTGTTTAATTTTAAGTGAAATATACGGTATGTACACTATGTTCTTTTGCACATTTACTTTGTTGATGCATGTTAATTTACATTTTTCATTAATATGCATGAACTTTTTCAATGTGCTATCTACATTTTTAAATTTTCATGGCATTGTAGGGAAAAAAACAGAAATGCCATTTTTCACACTTGCTTGAAATTTCATAAGATATCTGAAAACTGAAAAACAACCTGTGTTTGTTCTGAATATCACAAGAATTTTCTAGTTGTCCTCTTTATACTTCTGTCTAAAATCCCAAATTTAGGACTTAAAAAAAAAATACCTATAACAGTGAGGAAGATTAAGTGGACTTGCTCTTACTCAAGTAGGCTTGTGTTAAATTTGCTTTTTACATAATTTTTCCTAGGCTCAGTTGTGTAACCTTCCACAAAGTAGTCTACAGAATAAAACTAAATTGCTTCCTAGTATTGAGGAGGCATGGAGCCTACCAATCCCCGCAGAGCTTACCTCCAGGCAGGGTGCCATGAACACAGCACAGCAGGTGAGAAGTTGGGTTATATTCTGTAGGTGCCCAGCTTTTAAGTGTTTTTTCCCCACTTTTTAGTAATGATTTATTCCACTAAATGACGGATTGACTTTAAAATAGAGAAATATTTTTAATTAAAAAATACAAATTTCTTTAATTGCAAAAAATTGTAGAAAATCAAAATAAAACTCCCTCTGATATGGGAAGAAGTATTGGTGACGGTTTATAACCTTTGTGTATTCTTATGATTTGAAAGCTATTTCTTAAGTGACTTTTCTATAATTGTTTATTAAGTTTAAAAGATGAAACTTTTGTGAAAAAGGCACACATTGCTCCCTTGATGTTTCACTTGATTATAATTTTTAATAATTGCCATCAGTGATGTCCACATAGCATTGAAAAGTATATAAAGTTTTATAATTTGAAGTGAATCAGGAATATGCAGAACCATATTTTTGTCTTACTTCTGTGATCCTTAGGCATATAAACCTCATGATCCAAATACTGAACCTGTATTAAACCATAGTCAAACACCAATTTTACAACAACCTTTGTCACTACACATGATTACTCCTAGCCAAGTAGAAGGCCTGTCCTGTCCTGCCAAGAAGACAAGAACGTCTAGTCAAACAAAGGTATATATACATTTTAGAGATACGGAAAATCCCAATCAAAAATGAAACTGACTGTTCTGAAATTGTGTCTGGACTGTATTTTAAGCTTGTGGACTTCAGAAAGTGAAGCACTATTTTTATTCTATAATCTTTGCATCACATTAAATATAGAAGGTAGGGATAAGTTAATGTTCATCAAATCATTTATTCATTTCCCTGCTTTTACTAATTTAACACAGTTTTTACCATCACTTCTGACATTGAAATAAATTGAATGTTGAATATATTAGACTACCTTTCTACTTCTTTGAGATGTAATTTAAATATGGGCCTTTTTTGCTTAAATTTGTAAGTTTACAAATCAATTAGGCATTTAAAATAATTTTTAAAATGATCTTAAAGGATAAGTTTTACACACACACACACACACACACACGTATATATCCAATTCCTGCTCATTTGGTTCTCACTAGTCATAACTTTTAGTGTGTAAAATTAAGCAAATATTCTTAATCTTTTACACTAAATTTTCCTCAGAATGTTTCTGATAACTGGAATAGTGGCCAAAGTGTTTCACATCATCCAGAACTGCAACAACTTTATTCGTTGTGTTTGACACCACAGAAATTACAGGTATGAATTCCTTTGATAATCTCTCCCCCAATTTGAAAGCAGGAGAAATCATAAACGCTGTTTTTTAGGCATTAAGTCTCAAATTGAATGACTGCTAACCAAATTATACATGTGGTAAAATGAGTTCACATTTTCCGGAATAATAGGAATGAGAATCCATTTTCTTAGGGGAGACGAAACTTAGATTATGGAATACATAAGGTGAACGTTTTTTCCACTTTGTCCCTCCAGACAACCATTTTTAGTTTTTCATGGACAGCCAATCTTAATTGTTTTTTTCTAGAGATGTAAATTGTACATGTACAGACAAATATATTTGTCTTTTTTTTTATTATGGAGACAGGGATCTTGCTCCATCACCCATGCTGGAGTTTAGTGGCACCATCTCTACTCACTGCAGTCTCCGCCTCCCAGGTTCAAACAGTTCTCCTGCCTCAGGCTCCCAAATAGGTGGGACTACAGGCATGCACCACCATGCCCAGCTAATTTTTTTGTATTTTTAGTAGAGGAAGGTTTCCCCATTTTGGTCAGACTCAAACTCCTGACCCGAAATGATCTGCTCACCTCAGTTTCCCAACATGCAGGACGTACAGGCATGAGCTACTGCACCCGGCCAGGTGTCTCTATTTAAAATAGAATTATAGGTAGACTTTTACATATATTTAAGGATCTTATTTATTTTTCTTAAAGATACCTCTTAAGGATATTTCTGTGTTTGTGTATTGCTTTTCTGCTCTTTTAGTTATGATTTCCTGGGGCGAATCTATTATTTAAACAGATCCCAATTATTGGGATTTAACATGTTTTTCAGTAATTCTGTTATAAACAATGCTGCATTCAGTACTTCTATTTTAATACATTTTTTTAATTTTTTTTGAGACGGAGTTTCGCTCTTTGTTACCCAGGCTGGAGTGCAATGGCGCGATCTCGGCTCACCGCAATCTCCGCCTCCTGGGTTCAGGCAATTCTCCTGCCTCAGTCTCCCGAGCAGCTGGGATTACAGGCACGCACCACCGTGCCCAGCTAATTTTTTTGTAATTTTAGTAGAGACGGGGTTTCACCATGTTGACCAAGATGGTCTCGATTTGTTGACCTCGTGATCCACCCGCCTCGACCTTCCAATGTGCTGGGATTACAGGCTTGAGCCACCGCGCCCGGCACTATTTTAATACATTTTAAGCTAAATAGCTTTGTCTTTGAATTTTTATTGCCTTAGAATACATTTAACTATACCCACATGGAACAATTTTCCTCAGAGTTTTAGATTTTACTGCCTTTTTCAGACTTGCTAAAAGTATATTGCGCTTCACTAACATTGGTTAAGAATCACTGTCACTGATCCTGCAAAGGTACTATCTGTGTAGTCATTTTAGTTAGGAGTTGCCTTATATTGTCTTAAATTTTAGATTAAACTTTGATTATATACTTCTCTTATTCTAGCGGTTGAAAGAACAACTGCATGCAAATAGAGATAATTTAAATCCAGCATAGAAGCATCAGCTAGAACAGTTAGAAAGTCAGTTTGTCTTAATGTAGCAAGTACGTTTAATATTTTTATTTGATTTTAGTATCATTTTAGAGGATATTAATGCTAACTTTCAGTTTCTGTCTATATCTTATGGAACGTATATATCTGAGTTTTACGTATGTGTTCTTAATGGACAAAATTTTTTTTAAGGAAATATACTCAAATTAACCAAATACTTGTTACTTTATTATTTATATGCATAACGTTTTACTTGTGATCTACATGGTTGTGTTCTGAGAGCTTATTTTATTATTTAATAATTAACAAATTATCCTAAATTGTGGTAGTGATATTTTAATGATTGTTTGATTTGAAGGATTTGGCATAAATGTAAATTGAATGAAAATTTGAAATCTTCTGTTTCATGAAAGAAAAATTGCCTATAAAATTTTGACTCATTTATAATTTTTAGCAGCATTACTTTGCTCTTATAGCTGCTGATAAACAGTGATTTCTTTATATATTGAAATAGCTTTCTTTGTGTAGGAATTCTATTTTAAAGTGAACCTATTTTTTAAGGATTTGTTTAATAGATGAAATCATATATGAAATTAGAGATGTGTCAACTACACATTTTCAGAGTCACACAGCAGTTTTCCTTTTTTGAAGATAAGACACAAAGGAGTTGCTCAGGTATGAACTACTGGAATTCATAATGAGGCATTAGCTGATTCATCACTGTCTACAAACTCTATCTCTAATCGACAACCACATGCTGCTCTGACCCAAGTATCTAGCGTCTCTCAGCCTGAAGTTCACCCTGCTTGCACTGAAAAATCTTTGTTCAGTGGAGCTTTTTCTGCAGGTTGTATTCCTTGTGGCACATTAAAAATTCTAGGAAGTATAGACACTATCTTGGTAGGCAGTAATTGTATAGCAGGAAGTGAAAGTAATGGAAATGTGCCATACCTGCAGCAAAACACATTTATTCTACCTCATAATCATACAGACCTGAACAGCAGCACAGAAGGGCCATGGAGAAAACAGCTTTCTAACCCTGCTCAGGTAAAAAAAGACTAGCTGCTTTCTTGGCTCTTACATAGTACTTTACCTTTATTTATAGTTTCTTTACATTCTGAGAAGAAAAGATAGAAATTTAAAGAATGGCTTTGTCTTTTAAAAGTGATTTAACTGGTTCTTAACAGTATAAAACTTTGAAGTGGTATGAGGAACATTACAAGCCTACCTTGGACATCTTGTAGGTTGCATGCAAGACAACTGCAAGAAAGTTAGTATCATAATAATACCAGTCAAACTAATTTATTTTTTTTTTTAGTGCATCTAAAAGTTATGTTTACACTATACCATGTCAGTTTGCAATCAGTTTGTTTAAGCAAAAAACATATACATCTTAATTTGAAAATATTTTATTGTTTAGAAAAAGAAAACCTGTGATCATTAACCAAGTCATAGATCTTTTGCTGGTAGAGGGTCTTGCCTCTTTGGTGATGACTGCTGATTGATCAGGGTGCTGGTTGCTGATGGAATGGCTATGGTCCCTTAAGACAACAATGATATTTCCTACCTGTTCCTCCTCTCTCCCTCCATCCCTGTTTTCCTCCGTTCCTTTCTTTCTCTCTTTCTCCCGTTCTCTCTCTCCCTCTCTTCCTTCCCTCCCTCCTTCCCTTTTTTTGAGACAGTCTCCACATGTTACCCAGGTTGTGCAATGGGACAATCTTGGCTCACTGCAACCACTGCCTCCTAGGTTCAAGTGATTCTCCTGCCTCAGCTTTATCTGGGACTTCATGTGTGCCACCATGCCTGGCTAATTTTTGTATTTTTCTATTTTTGTTTTCACCATGTTGATCAGGCTAGCCTCAAACTCATGACCTCAAGAGATCCTCCCATCTCAGCCTCCCAAAGTGCTGGTAATACAGGCATGAACCACTGCACCCAGCTGACTCTTTTCTTCTTGAAAGATTTCTTTGTAGCATACCAAGCTATTTGGTATTTTGCTAGTAATAGAATTTTTCTCAACGTTGGAGTCAATCCTCTTCAATTTTACCACTGCCTTTATCAACTAAGTTTATGTAATATTGCAAACCTTTTGTTTTTTTATCACAACGGTTTTCACAGCATTTCCCCAGCAGTGAATTTCCTCTCATAAAACTGCTTTGTTTTCTCATCCATGAAAAAGCAACTTCTAATTCATTCAAATTTTATCATGAGATTGGCACAATTCAGTCATTTTTTCAGACTTCACTTCTTAAACTGCCTTGCCACGTCTACATCTGTAGTTTCTTCCTTAACTGAAATCTTGAACTCTTCAAAGTCATCCATGAGGATTGGCATCAACTTCTTCCACATTCATTTTGACCTCCTCTGAATCATGAAAATTGTTAATGGCGTGTAGAATGATGATGAATCCTTTTCCAAAAGTTTTCAGTTTACTTGGCTTAAATTTATTAGAGGAGTCACTGTCTGTGTTAGCTATATATAGCCTTATGAAATGAAATACATTTCTTAAATAATAAGAAGTGAAAGTTGAAATTACTTCTTGATCCATGAGCTGCAGAGTAGATGCTGTGTTAGGCATGAAGACAAATTTAATCTCTTTTATATTTATCAGAGCTCTTGAATTAGTAAATGCATATTCATTGGGCAAAAGCATATTGAAATGAATCTCTTAGTTTCTGAGTACTAGATATCAATATGGGCTAAAAAAACTCAGTAAACCATGCTGTTCAGTGATAGGCTATCATATAGGATTTGTTATCCCATTTATAAAGCATTTTAGGGCCCTAGGATTTTCAGAATAATAAATGAGCATTGCTCACTTTAGTTAAAGTCATGAGCCTTGTTAGTTCCTAACAAGGGCATCTGCCTGTCTTTTGAGGCCTTGAAACCAGCCATTAACTTCTGTCTAGTTAGCAAAGTCCTACATGGCATCTTCTATTATAAGGCTGTTCCATCCTCATTGAATATCCCCTGTTTAGCGTTGCTACCTTCATCAATGATCTTAGCTAGGTTTTCTAGATAATTTGCTGCTTTACCTTGTACTTACAGAGATGGTTTCTTTCCTTAAACCTCATAAACCAACTTATGCTAGCTTCATTCTTTTGCTGTTCTTTCACCAATGTCAGCATTCATAGAATTAAAGGAGAGATTTAGAGGCTTTCTCCCTGTTAGGCTTTGACTTATGGGAATGTTGTTAGTGGTTTGAGCTTTTATCCAGACCACTAAAATTTTGTTCATATCAGCAATAAGGTTGTTTTGCTTTATTAACATTTGTAAATCCACAGGAATAACAGTTTTAGTTTCCTTAGCTTTCACAACTCAGCTAACTGTTGCAAAAGGCCTAGATTTGCAACTATCTTTGTTTTGGTTATGGCTTCCTTACCAACTTTAATTGTTTCTAACTTTAGATTTAAAGGGAGAGATGTGTCTTGGTATAATGGCTCATGCCTTTAATTACAACACTGTTGGTGGCCAAGGCAGGAGGATTGCTTGAGTCCAGGAGTTGGAGGCCAGC